GGGTGTAATATTCTGAACTGTAGTCCTTAGAGGCCCTTGTTCTAGTAAATAGGCACCAGGGTAGAAGGGCTAGAATAAAACTGTCCTTATCAATTTTCATGCCTAACAGAGGGGATTGGAGTGACTTCATCCTGGGTTCATCTCTTTTTGACCCTGAAGTATAGACTAAGTAAGTAAGACCTTGGTAAGTACTGATGGTCCACTTATAGATCTACTCAAACAAGAAAGTTAAGATGAGAGTCTTATACCCAATCCGATGTTATAATTTTGATGTTTAATATTTGCTTCCATCTCAAAATATAATAAAGACCTGAAATAGTATTCATAACACCATCTTCACAATATTAAATATCACACTCCTATCAATATAAAGAACACACTGAACAAGCTTATTTAACTTCTATGTAAATGCTGAATTTTATTTTAACTTCATTCTTTAAAGAGATCACATGTATTTAGAGATAGACTTTAATTTCTTAGGTTTATTTTTTCTTTCTTTTTCTTTTTTTGCATTTTTATGAACTAGAGAATGTAATTGGGTAGGCATTTCTGAGCTGAAGACAGGACACCAGAAAGTCTGTGCAGTGTTCTGTTTTCCTCTAGATTCTCTAAACATGACACTCTTTAAAGCAAAGTAAAATCATTTTTTCTCAGAGATGCATAGCATTTACTAAAGAAAAAGATATTATTATTTTTACTAATTTATATATTGTAGTTCAAGAAGAGTAAATAATGTGCATGTTGAAAAATTTATTACAACTTTTTTTTATTGATTAGAAAACAAGTATTTTTTATTCAATTAAGAGAGCTAGTATGACTTCAAAGTTATTGATTGGGGTTTGTATGGAGAGATTTAAAACTCAGATCTTAAGAAAGTATAAACTGACTTCAAGATTCAGACCCACCTACTACCTCACCCCAAATAACAACCAGTTGTTTCAATAGTACTTATTGAATAGTCTCTGCCTTCGTGTGATTGTGCTATGTTTGCTATAAATTGAATTCCCTTATTTGTGTGGCTTTATTTGTGGACTCTATTCCATTCCACTGATGCCTTGATATTTCCTTCCCAACACCAATAGGACAAGTTTGATAAGTTGTAAATATTTTAAAATATCTAGTAGAATTGGTCTTCTCTCATTTCACTTTTTCATACATAATTTTCTTGGTTATTCTCACAATAATTTTTCATAATGATTTCAGTAGCTTTTTATTATACTTTGAAAATCTATGAAGTTTTGAGCAAACAGTTGCTAGAGAACATCTGGGAGGAAGTCAGAACAGGAGCAGTCTCCAGAGAGCCACAGGAGGATGGGAAGTGGAGATGGAGTCAGTAACAGGGAAGGCTGAGGAAGTGAAGGCGGAACTGTGTAGGCCCAGCAGACAAGCAGAAAAGCAGAATATTCTTCTCAAACATTTCACTTACTTCAAAAATTTTAAAGTTAAATATACTTTTTTTTTTTTTTTTTTTTTTGAGACAGTCTCACTATGTCTCCCTGGGTAGAGTACTATGGCGTCACAGCTCACAGCAACCTCAAACTCTTGGGCTTAAGTAATTCTCTTGCCTCAGCCTCCCAAGCAGCTGAGACTACAGGCACCCACCACAATGCCCAGCTATTTTTTTGCTGTAGTTGTCATTGTTGTTTAGCAGGCCCAGGCTGGGTTCAAAATCGCCTGCCTCGTTGTATGTGGGCAGTGTCCTAACCACTGAACTACAGGCACTGAGCCAAGGTAAATATACTTTGAGCCTCTATGCTGGATGAAGAGAACTTCTAATAACTCTGTTCAATCATATAGGCCAAATAAGCAAATACCTTTTTCAAAATCTCTGTTGGGATGAATCTTCAGTTTTCTATTGGACATTTGCACATTCCTTTCAGATTAACATCAGCAGCAGTCATGGAAATTGGAGGACACCAGAACACATACAGTCAGCCTTCTAGTGGTAGTTGAATGAGACCACACAACTAGATAGTGTTGAAGGCAGCCAGCATAGTAGCATTAGTCATAGCAATAAATATCCATTGCCCTCCTATGAATTGTGAAGAGTCTTTAACGCTCGTCTGTTTTTTATTGCTTATTTGTTTGTTTTTGCATATAATTTCTTATTCAGTCCAGAACATCTAGGCATTTTTTTTCTAAACATCCTAAAAATTTCTCTCTTATTGTTCCTTTGATACCTCATCTTTTAAGGATGACACATGCCACTAAACTGTTTATAAACAACCCAGAGGTAGAAATAGTCTGAGAAGAGGAAAATAAGTACAAGAAGTTGGAGATGGGAGGTCAGGCCAGCAAAATGTTCAAAAGTCGATAAGAGTGCAGGGACGAGCTTAACAACAGTTCAGAAACGACTGAAACAACTGAGGGAAGATCACAGTGATTTGAGTTTGGGATTAAAGGAGAGCAAAGAATGGTGATACTAGAAACAACTTTCATACCTGAGACGTATTATCAAATTCCTCGTCATAAAGATTGGTAGTGAAAAAAAAAAAAAAGATTGGTAGTGAAACCTACAAGTAGCTTAAATATATAATTCAGTAAATTATTACAAGAATTCATTATTTTATAAGAGTATGTGATCAAGTAATTCTCCGCAAAATTGACTTTTCTTAAACATATGCTCTACTAGGTTACTTTTATAAAATTATATCTAAGTTTTGATAGAGAATTTTATTTAATCTGATATAGTCAGTAAACTCATTGACTCACACAGATTGATATTCTATTACTGATGCATGTCACACCAAAAATGCATCAGTGATTAATAAAATATCAGTTAATATCCACACCAAAAATATATTAATAATAGATAAAATATTAAAATGATCAAAAAGTCACTGCCATGCTCCTCAGACAGATAGACACTAGACAGATGCCAGATGATTGATAGATAATAGACAGATAATGAGATTCAGTGTAAAAACACTTTATTATTTATTGATGATGGATCTATGGACCCTCTTGACTCCTACTCTAGAGAAACACTGCACTGCTAGTTGGCAGCTCAACACCTGTATGGGACTCAGCATGCTCGTGCTTCATACTTGACAAGTAACCATTCTAGGATACCCTGCTTGAGATATGAAGGTTGTAGCCCACATGCAGTATAGAAATTTGCTATTGTCACAGCACAAGTCTGAAACCCGTAAAAAGCAGGATCCTGGGGTAGATGGAAAAAATTGAGTGAAACTGTACTCATTTCTCTTTTGTAACAAGCCCCTTTAGCAAGTATTAAAAAAAAAGAAAAGCCTAAAACTATCGAGAAACTTCAGGGAAGGAGGAAAAGCCATGTACATGTCTAATCATAGGACATGAACAAAATAAATAAGCAAATGAAGAAAATTCCACTAAAGATGAAATTACAAATAAAGTTCAGAACAAATATGAAGACTAATACTGAGAAACTCTACAACATCTCACCACGGAAAAGGAAGATGAAGAAATATTGGTCAAAAGTACAAAGTGTCAATCAGGCAGAGGAAATAAGTTTTGTGACATTGCACAGCATGGTGACTGCAATTCATAATAATGTCCTGCATATTACCGAGTTGATAAAAGAGTACATTTCAAATGTTCTGTAAGTCAGTGAAGTGGTAGATACGTTAATTTACTTGACTTAATCATTCTATATTGTATACTTAACATCAAAACATCACACTGTACCTCATACATATATCAGTTATTCTTTGTCAATTAAAAATAAAAAATAATCTAAAAATATTCACTCATGAAAAAAGAAAAAAGTAAGTGAAACTGAAATAAACTTTAGAGTTGGCATGCTTAAGTTCCTCAAAAGTTAAAGAAAATGTAACAATAAAATGAATACAAAGTTATGGGGTCATTGGTAGATAAAAATCGAAATGAGAGTAATTTATAATACTCAGAGATACATGAAAAATGCAGCACAAATGAATTATAGATTGGGAAAATATGAAGTAATGTAAGTAGAAAGTTTGAGAAGTTTTGATATTTTTTAGATAGATGAAATGCTGAATAGGTGATACATGATATTCAAAATATAAGAAATGCATTACTTTTCTGGTAGAAAATGCTTAATGTATTTTAAGCAAAATGAATTGGTAACCTCCACCAAACCCCATGCACTACCTATTAAACTGAAGGTTATCAGTGATGAAGAGAACTAAAGACTAGATTCTAACAAGAAATAGATGCACATGAAGGGTCCATTGACAATGGTGTTTTGGAGCATTTGTTTTAGAGATGTATACAGAGTTGAGGAGACAACTGGAAGTGCAGAAGCATTCAGACATCCATGTCAGGAAGTGAGGACACAAAGAAAAAGCATAGGATGAGATAAAGGCTCCTACAACAAAAGTCTGCAGTGTTCCTTTACATGACCATTCATCACTAAGAAAAATAGAAAAAAAAATAGAGAATAAAGGATTCTATAAATAATAGCAATAATATCATAAAGTTTATAAAAAATAAATTTTACAAAATATGCAAAATCATCTGTAATTAATGATAATATATTTCTGAGAAATATGAATAAAAGGTTCTAGGAAAGGACAAGAAAATCCATGGTTACATTAAAGACACTATATAAATACATGTTACTTTTCTCAATTATATGTAAAAGCACTGAAATTTTAAATAAAATCTTAATAGGATGTACATTGCAATATTTATATAAGAAAACAAGTCTCAGGATTTAGAACTGAATAATAAGCGCCTGCATAATTACCTTAGATGACCAATAGTCCTTTCATACGACTTGTATCTGTTATTATCTGTGTATGTTGTAAGATTAGATTTTGATAACAATTTGTGTTCTTTTTCACTCAGTTTGATATTGATGTCTACTTCACTATGTATTTATCTTTATTTAGGTTTCTATGTAAGAATTATGTCTATGGGTTTGGTTTCACAAGATCTCAAGGATTTCAATAAGACAGAGCCAGGCATTTGAACCAATCTACTTGTGTGACTGTGGGAAACCTCTTTCAAACCTCCCTTCTTGTCTCTTACACATAAGCATGCCCATCATCAACACTTCCGAAATTGAAATTTCTATTTTCTACTTGGTTGGGATTCCAGGTATGGAACCTACCAACATTTGGTTCTCTATCCCCATATGTTTCATGTACCTTGTTGCTATCCTGGGAAATTGTGCTATCCTATTCTTTGTAAAAACAGAGCCTTCTTTGCATGAACCTATGTATTATTTTCTCTCCATACTATCCCTTTCTGACCTGGGACTATCACTCTCCTCTCTCCCTACCATGCTAAGGGTTTTCTTGTTCAGCACTCCTGGAATTTCTCTTGATGCCTGTATTGCCCAAGAATTCTTTATTCATGGATTCTCAGCTATGGAGTCATCTGTACATCTCATAATGTCCTTTGATCGCTTTATTGCCATCTACTACCCTCTAAGATATACTTCTATCCTTACCAGTGCCAGAGTCATTCAAATTGGGCTTCTTTTTACTCTCAAGAATGTTCTGTTGATCCTCCCTTTCCCTTTCACTCTAAAACATCTAAGATACTGTAAGAAGAACCTCCTGTCCCATTCCTACTGCCTCCATCAGGATGTCATGAAGCTGGCCTGCTCTGACAACAAGGTCAATGTCATCTATGGCTTATTTGTGGCTCTCACAGGCATTCTAGACTTGACATTTATTTTTGTGTCCTATGTGCTAATACTGAAAGCTGTGTTGAGCATAGCATCACAAAAGGAAAGGCTCAAGGTCCTCAATACATGTGTTTCCCACATCTGTGCTGTGCTTATCTTCTACATGCCTATTATTTCCTTAGCTGTCATCTACCGGTTTGCCAAACACACTTCTCCACTCATTAGGATCCTCATGGCTGATGTTTTTCTGCTGATACCTCCATTGATGAACCCCATTGTATACTGCATGAAAACCCAACAGATAAGAAATCTGATCCTAGGAAAACTGTGCCAGAAGCAAAGCTGATGGGAATGCTTAACCGTATGAAAACCCAATGACAAAGCAAAATGAAACAAAGAACCAAACTATGTAAAATTCACAATGTCATGTCTCAACCTATAAATTAGGACTGAAGAATCAGATCTGAAGGTTGTTGAGTTGGTATTTAGACTTGGTGTACTCTTGAAAGAAAATGTATGGTTGGGTTCCATATTCACCCATCTTGCTCTACCAAACTTATTAATATAGTATATGACTGTCATTTTCATTATGATTAACAGAATATAATATCTGCTTATTTGGAAATTAATAGTATACACTTACATTACAATGGGTAGGGATTAGAAGTGATCCAATAAAAACAAATTAGAAGTGCCTCTTTAATAAAATTTTTATTTTCAACACAGAATTTTGACCCCTGTGAGATATTGCTTTCGGAAATTGAAATTATTATGGGCAACTACACTGTGTACACGTGACCCATGTTAATAAGAAAATGTATACAAGTGAAAAAATAATTACTTTCATTCACTTCTTTTATTTGCTTCAATATTTCTTTCTAGAGCATTCAAATGTTATCTACTAAGCTATGAGGTTTAGACAGTTTCCTATCTTTGAAGTTTCTATGCAACTTCTACTTAATGACAAAGATTCTTTGTTTAACCAAACTCTACTGTTTCCTCTGAACTCTCTTCTCAACTTGACCCTGACATATGGACTTGAATATTTATCTTCATATTATCCAATTTAATCAAAAACCTTGAAAGTCTGTTTAATCAGATCCTTCACCTTCCATATGTGATTACTTTATCCAGTTGACTTCCTCATCCTCTAACAGACCCAAGTTGATGTCTAATCATCCTGGGGAATGCCTTCAGCAAGTATCATGAGTGATTTTGTTAAGAGTTGTGCTATAATTATTCAAATCACATTAATCATTGAACATATAGAATTCTGACCCAGGACCCTATGTACCCAAACAAGACCTGAAGACTAGCTTCCCTGAGTCTGCCATGATGACTGGCACCACCAGTGCTTGAGTGTACCACCTAGGGACCAAGGCCAATTTACCTGGCTCTGATACTCATACCAAAGTTGATCTGTGCACCTGCACTTGTCACTAAGGAGCATACTAACAGGCCCACTTCTCTTTCGCCAGTAAAGCCTCAACATAACTTCCACAAACAACCTTATCCTAAGCCACAGAGGAACTTGCAGACACTACTGGCACTGAGTATAGCTGAGGAAATTATATTAGGACTATACTGTTGCCCATAACCATAGTTAAAGCTAAAGCACCCTACCAAGCTGCATCTATAGATATATCTATCGAAAAACAGTTATCTCGGCTCGGCGCCTATAGCTCAACCGGCTAAGGTGCCAGCCACGTACACCTAAGGTGGCGGGTTCGAATCCCCAGCCCGGACCCGCCAAACAACAATGATGGCTGCAACCAAAAATAGCTGGGCGTTGTGGCAGGCGCCTGTGGTCCCAGCTACTTGGGAGGCGGAGGCAGGAGACTCGCTTGAGCCCAGGAGTTGGAGGTTGCTGTGAGTTGTAATGCCACGGCACTCTACCCAGGGGGACAGCTTGAGGCTCTGTCTCAAAAAAAAAAAAAGAAAAACATTTATCTCTACAAAAACTATTCCATAAATAGGAAGAAGTGACTGCTACACCAGATATTTATATACCAACAAAGAACATAAGAAATATGACTAATTAAAGAAACATGGAACTTCTAAAAGAATATAATAATTTAACATGACAGAATAATTGCAAGTATACATAAGCACCCAACAGTGAAGCACCCACATATACATATACAGCAAATATCGTTGGAACTAAAGAAAGAACTAGACCTCACTCTCAACTTTGGGCCTTGAATCTAGACAGAAAAGCAATAAAGACACATCAGACTTAAGTGGTGCTGTAAACTAAATGACCCAAACAGACATTTACAAAACATTTCATCCAACAGATACAAAGCACACATTCTTTAGGATAGACCATATGTTACACCACAAAACAAATATTATACAAAAAATGTTTAAAAATTAAAATCATAGTGACTGGGCATGGTGGCTTATGCCTATAATCCTAGCACTCTAGGAGGCGAAGGCAGGAGGTCGCACTTAGCTCATAGGTTCAAGACCAGCCTAAGTAAGAGCAAGACCCCATCTCTAAAATAGCCAGGTGTTGTGACAGGTGCCTATAGTCCCTGCTATGAGGTAGGTTGAAGCAAGAGAATCACTTGAGCCCAAGAGTTGGAGGTTGCTGTGGGCTATGATACCACAGCACTTTACTGGGGGTGACAAAATGAAACTCCATTGCAAAAAAAAAAAAACCTAAAAATTAAAATCATATGAAGTGTCTTCTCAGACTATAATGGGATCAAAGTGGATATCAATAACCAGAGGTACTTCTCAAGTCTTCCGAATACATGGAAATTGAATGTCATGCTCCTGAACAATCATTAGACCACTGATGAAGTTAAGAAGGAAATAAAAACTTTTGAAACAAATGACTATATAAACACTGCATGCCAAAACATATGAAAGACAATAAAAGAAGAACTGGACGGTGCCTGTAGCTCAAGGAGCAGGGCACTGACCCATATAAGGGAGGTGGTGGGTTCAAACCCGGCCCTGGCCAAAAACTGCAGAAAAAAAAAGAAGAACTGAAAGGAAGCCTATAGCAATAAACATCTACATCAAAAAAGTAGACATATTTCAAATAAAGAATCTCACAATGCATGTAAAGGGCTAGCAAAACAAGAACAAATAAAGCTCAAAATTAGTAGAGGAAAATAATAAAGTGAGAGTATAACTAAATAGAACAGAGAAAAAATGCAAAAGATTAACGAAATTAAAAGCTGTTCTTTCACAAAAGGCAAGTAAAATTGACAAACCATTAGATAAGCTAACAGTAAAAGAAAGAAGACCTGAATAAATAAAGTTAGAAATGAAACAAAAACATTGCAACTGATGTCACGGAAAGATAAAGGAACATGACAATATTATGAGAACATAGTATAATATCAATGATATGATTGACAGAAATATATTTTTGATGACATATAATTAATCATGATTAAACTAGTAAATGGCTCAAAAACCCAAATAGGCCAATTACAAGGCAAAAAGATTGAATCAATAATACAAAGATTTTCAACAAGGAAAAGTTCAGATCTAGATGACTTTACTGCTGAAATCTACCAAAATTTTAAAGGAGAACTAACACCAATTTTTTTTTATACAAATTTCAGAAAATTGAAGTGTAGGGAATTTTAACCAGCTAACTCATTATTTTTTTTATTTCAGATTAATATATAAATACAAATAGTTAGTTACATTGTCTCTGTTTGGTAGGTAAACTTCACCTTGTAGTTGATCCCTTCACCCAGGAGGTGTGCCACATACCCCTACATTATGCCAAAGGACCCAATATACTCAATACTAAGAAACCAGCGATGAACAACTACATGCCCAGATGAGAGAATTACTAACTCATTTTATGAGAAACAAACTCCCCTGACATCAAAATCAGACAAATCACACCAAAAAGGAATACATGAGGGACCAACATACCTGATGAACATAGATGAAAAAATTCTCAACAAGATACTAGCAAACTAAATCCAATAATAGCACTGCAAAAAAAAAAATACACCATGATTGAATGGGATTTGTCCCAGAGGTAAAAGGATGCTTATACAAGCATAAATCAATAAATGTAATATATCACATCAACAAAATTAAGAGCAAAATCCATGCGCTCCTCTCAAACGATTCAGAAAAGGCACATGATAAAATTTAATAACCATTTGCAATAAAGATTCTCAACAAATCAGCTTTAACAGAAATACACCTCAAAAAATTGGAGACCATAAATGAAAAATCTACAGCTTACATCACTGAACAGTGAAAAACGATGCCCACTTTTAACACTTTCATTCAACACTGTATTGGATGTCCTGGATGAAATAGGACAAAAATAGAAATAAAAAGCATCCACACTAAAAGTTTGTAAGTGAGAAAGTCAAATTGTGTCTCTTTGAAGACAACAAAATGTTATATATAAACAAACCAAAAGACTTCACTAAATTGAAAAAAAGAAAATCTCTTAGAACTAATGAATTTAGTAGTTACAGGATACAAAATCAACATACAAAACTGTACAATTTCTATACACCAATAACAAATTGGCTAAAAAAATAATAAAGCAATTCCATTAACAATAGCTTAAAACATAAATAGAATGCCTGGGAATCAATTTTTTTTAATTTTTAATTTTTTTAATTAAATAATAAACACATACATCATGTATACCTTAATGCATTTATAGGGTACAATGTGCTGATTTCATATAGAATCAGGAATGCTTACATCACATTGGTCATTATATACCTCATTTCATTTACTTAATTATTGTATTAAGACATTTATAATCTATAGTAACAGATCCGAAATGTACCCTTGCATCATGCACCATAGGTGTGATCCACCATTCATCCTCCCTCGATCTGACCTCTCTTCTCCCCTCCCACTCCCCCTCCTCCTTTCTTCATCTTGGGCCATAGTTGTGATCTATTCCTCATATGAAAGTATGAGTGCTTGTAAATTGGTTTCATAATAGTACTGAGTACATTGGATATTTTTTCTTCCATTCTTGAGATACTTTACCAAGTAGGATATGTTCCAGCTCCATCCATATAAATGTAAAAGAGGTAAAGTCTCCATCTTTTTTTAAGTCTGCACAACATATACCACAACTTATTAATCCATTCATAGTTCAATGGGCACTTGGACTTCTTCCATGAATTGGCTATTATGAATTGAGCTGCAGTGAACAATTGGGTAGAAATATCTTTATTATAAAGTGATTTTTGGTCTTTTGGATATACCTAGTAGGGGAGTTGCAGGATCAAATGGCAGGTCTACTTTTAGATCCCTGAGTATTCTCCATACTTGCAGCTGAATGAAATAAAATATTAACTGGAAATAGACTGTATATTTTATCTACTCAAA